TTGGGATTCCCATCATCCAGATGCTCCAGAACACGCAGATCGCACCAAATATGGCAAAGCCTATCCACCAGTTCCCCACCCAACGTTTATCCTGTATGGTCAGTGAGGTCTGGACACCAGGTTCAACAAACATCAAAAGAAACCTGGAGATCAATACGAATCCCACAGCAGCGCCTGAGAAAATAACAAAAAGTATTATTCAAACGAAAATAAGTCTTTATAGTTTTGCCCCTGTAAGAGTGACACCAGGTTCAACGAACATTAAAAGAAACCTGGAGATCAATATGAATCCCACAGCAACGCCTAAGAAACAAAGGAATAACTATTCAAGATAAGATGAAAATTTTAGTTCGGCCTTTGTAAGAGTGATGTTTATCATCAGTTACCATGGTTACTTACCAAGAATCCCACAAGCCACAAATATGCCAACGTACATTGGCGTCACCTTAGCTTTGACATTTTCATCCATGTATGGGATTCCCAACGACGGTGTACATCGGAGTGCAACCTGCTCCAGCTACAACCATTCCCAGGACGAAAAGCGCGTAGTAAAGAGTGTTTCCACCTGTGGTTTCTTCTTTACACTGGTTCGTTCCAAGTTGATTGGTGTGATTTGCCCAGCAAAGTCCCGTGTCAATGACGCGGCTTATGTCACTAATACTCACGTTGGATTCTATGACGGTGGCTGGTGCGTTAAAAACAAAAGACGATGTAAAGTGGAAATGTCAAGTTAGTTTGGATTCCTGCCAAAATTTGTCTTTCAGTTCTGGCCACAGCTCGGAATTCTCAGTGGAAAGAGAACATAACCTCACATTCTCTTGTCCGAGGAGCATAGTTTGTCGCTCAAGAACAGAAGTAAGTCATAAAGAAGTCTTACGAGAAGTGATCATTCAAGGGTTGTTGGAAAGTGGATCGCATAGGACGGTACAGGTCCTTTTTAATAGCAGTACTTTGTATCATATGGGAAAACCACAAAGAAGCTGAAAGGGGTCGTGAGAAAAAAGAGCAAAGAATAACTGAGGAAATGGCCCATCTGAGTGCACCTACCTGTGGCTTCGTATGGAGGCGAAAGAAAATGAGGCAGCATGAAGATAAAGAATCCAACTCCCATTGCAAACAAACCCCAGCCACAAAACAGCGGCTTCTTTCGCGAGCCACCGATATAGCTGATCAGCGGAGTTAGGATCGTAGCTGCTATCTCATAACTGCTCATCACCATGCCCATCATGTAACTAGCGCGAAAAGACAGAATACTTCACAACAAAGAAAAGTAACAGAATGAGCAGATGAGAACTCAAAATTACATAGGAATCTGTACACTTAGTTGAAATTCAACAATTACGCTCTTAAAACGAGTGTCACGGTCTCCAGCCGTCCAATTTGGCGAACCCTCCATAATAATAACAACAACAACAATAATAATAAATCGTCGCTTGAGATGGAACCATGTAGTGAAACATGATGATTGCCCTGCAGGAAGTTTCCTACACAATAAATGGTATTTTTCAAATCCACTGTGTTTATCAATTCGGTGGAAACTTCTCTTTAAGTATCCCAACGTAACTGAAGAAAGTTGGTGATTTATTTATTCGTTCACTGAGATACGCGTTTACAGCTATCAAGGGAATGTGTAGCAGCTAGAAGAGAGAATCAACAGTCGGATTAAGGGTCAACCTCATAAAAATCAAATCTCGAAGTAATTGCTTGCTAAAGAAGACAGGCTCCGAACAAATTGCAGATGATGAAATTGAAAATCTTAGGCTTAATGTTTGAAGATAGATAAACAACGACGCTGAACTCCAGCTAACAAGATACGAGCCCGATTCTAGGGTTTTCATAATGCAATACTGCACTAGCGCTCAGAAAGAGCTAACAAGGTCGCGCGGGTCACGCTAATTTGAAGTAATAGATGCATGAGTATGGTCTCGAATATAGAATAAGGTTTTATACTATCTTAGTAGAATATCAACGCTCATTTTTCAATACGATTGAAATGAAATTGCAGTAGGTGAGGTAAGTGTAATTTGGTCTGGTATTGTGTTAAATGCTCAAAGTCGAGCTATAGTTTTTTTCACATGCGTGAAAAAAACTATGTTTTTTCGAGCAAGCCTACACAGTTTTCAACAAGTATTTTGTTGATTAAAAGCGGCATCGTTTGTCACATTTGACTCTTTTGTCATTGTGTTGACCTGTATCGAAATGCGAACTATACAGAGAAACATGTGACTCATGTTAATACCCGCTAACACAGGTGCGGTTACATAACACTTGATGTGACTCATGCATGTGACCCATGGATACAATCTACACTCAGGCACTCTTAGAGATGGATGATCTCGCTATGGCTTTTATTAACCGTCTCGATAAACTTATTACGTACAGATATTCTTAGTTAAATGCTTGATGTTATTGATATGCAGTGAGTTTACCTCATACAAGTTGCATTGAAATCACCGAATTTTTAAAACAATCACACTGACCTGGAGAAACCAAACCGCTTCTCGATCGTGCTGATCGAACCCGGGTAGACGCCATTAACGAGGATACTCTGGGTGAAGAAATACTGACTCAAGGTGAACAGAAACCATTTTGGAGTGTTAAGAAACTGTAGCCATGATGGACGAAATTCAAGCCAGCCATAGCGATACCTAGATTGTTCGTCTTCTTCTACCGGCATTGCTATGCCGCAAGTTGTAATCTAAACTACCTTAAACACTGTAGAAAGACTTTCGATAAGACGTCCTTTTGAACGTCCTTTTAGGAGGGGTTTCTGATAATCCTCCGATAATGTGTTAGTTGTTTATCGGTCAATGGAGTCTGAGTTCGAAGGTAGTCTGATTTGAGGCTATGTAAGCGCTGGAGCATGACCGAAGTACACCAGCCAAAGCCGGTAACTCGACCATGGAAAATTATGTGTATTTAGAAGCCCGCTCATTTCTAGGATCAAAGGAAATCGGAGATCACAGTAGTTCCCGATTGCCCCATCATAAGTAACGAAATCACGATCGATAGTCTGACTCGGTCTTAGCCAGTAACACAGAATCGCCTGTCTGCATAGCAAAACCTTGAAGTTGTCTTTTGATTCACTTCTAACATACTTGGACTAAAAGGATCTGGGTATTTGTAACGATATCTCTCTCCTCTAGCGCGTGCGTCACCCTTTCGCGCTCGCCTAGCGGCTTTCGCTCGCCCGAAAAACGCGAAAAAAATGCGGCTAATCTGCGGCTCAGCAAGTCACGCCTCCCAGGGATAACGACTACGATCATAACTTTCACTGACACATTTTATAAAAACATACGAAAAGTCATAACAGTTCAGATTACTCTGACGGAGAAGAGCAAATAGGGAATGAGGTGCCAGTAACCGATCCTTGTGTTTGCGCAAAGATTCTTGAGATCGCCACGGGGAAGACATCGCGGCCCGCTAGAAAGAAGTGTATGGCGAGACAGTTTCCACGTCCAAAAAATCGATTTTGGAGAGAGTTCATCATTCTTTCATCGCTTTTTTTTCTTTAATCAGAAATTGATTCGGGTCACGTTGATATATGGGAATCGTAAGTTTTTGCTTGAACAATTACGAAATATGAAATGAAAACGAAGAACAAACTTTTCTTCATGCGCTAGGTTTATTGTGAAATTGACATCCTTATTGGTCTCGAAATTTGGAAATATTAAGTATGAATCGCCAAGAAATAACTCATTAAAGCCTTTAAGTTTTGTTTAATTGTGTTGAGTGTACCTCTAGCTATTTTCTTGGCTTGGTAATACAAAAGAGCGCTGAAACAGCTACCTCGAAACAGCACGAGATTGAAATGGTGTGCTTGAGCATTAAATATTATCGTGATACGTTTAAGTGATTTAACACCTACATTGTTCATTTGTTGTGATCTATGAGAACGAACCAGCGTCAATAATTGGCTCAAAACTGAGCCTTTTCTTCTGCCATGATGAGCAGGACCAACACTCAGGGTCTTAAAATAATTGAGAAGAATTTGCTACCTTTCTATAACATCAAGAAATGGTTAGATATTCTAGTCTTCTCGGATAGGGACGAATAAATAGAGGTTCCGTCTCCTGCAGGGTTGGGGTAGGAGACGTTAATTTCCCACACACGAGATTACTGTGTGATGGATGTCCTCCCCTGGGGTGGGATGGGTGGGATATTGGGCGCACTTAATTTGGAGCCTCGCTCTGTTGTGCGACCCTCACCACACTCTGGTGAAAGTGATTAAACAGGTACAAATAAGTCGCTTAAGGAGCGAAGCACAACTGAATTTATGTCTACAGTGAGTCATCCGGAGTTCCCGTGATCTTGCCTTTCCCGACAGATCCTCGAAGGAGCTCGAGGAGAAAAGTGGCAGCTTAAAAACGTTTGAAATTTGCTCAAACAAACTATCGCTTGACCCAGAGATTTCCTCATACTTTCTATCACTTACTCCATTGTTTCAAAGAGAAACAGCTCGGTTAAAAAACATTTTCATCACGCTGACAACGACTTCTCTCCCCTGAGGAGGTATACTTAATTTTCAGACGTCGTAAGTTGTTTAGTTAATGCGTCGACAATTATGACGACGGGCTCTACATACATAAATACAACTGATAAGACTTAGGTGAGTTATTTCCTTGCGATTTATGGCTAATTTTGTAATGCATTGAGACTATTCCGTGATGACGATTTCACGATTTTTTGTAGACCTTTGGCAAGGAGAGAAGTTTATCGATATATTTTATAACATATTTTGGGGTAATTCCAATCAAAACTTTCACCTACCTTGTATTAAAATTATCTTAATCGATCTATGATAAAACTGCGGCGAAAAAGCATCAATCTCTCTCAAAAATCGGTTTTTTCAACATCGAAACTGCCGATCGCCATGTATTTCTTTCTAGCGGGCTGCAATGTTTGCCCCGTAGCGATCCCAGATATCTCTGCGCAAACGCATTATTTATTTAGTTTACGATCCTGCTTTCCCAGGGCTGTAGTATTCCGTGATTATCAAGAGCCATGGCTCTTGGTGTTTATACATATTTCGTTACTATTGTGATCTCTAATTTCCATTGTACTCCACGGTCGAGTTGCTTACATATTCGGTGTCATCAAGTGTTTACACGGTCACAAAGCAGACCGTTCGTGTCCACCGTTCGTGACTGTGAGGTGACCGATACAACTCTCACCAACATTCTGAAAAGAACGTTCGGCTTAAAACTGCATCTTCGGAGCTTTGAGGGTTTCCTGAAGATTCTTCTCCAGTGTTACACAATCAACATGGCAGCAACTGAAGATAAACAGTTATCGTATGGATGGCTTAGATTTCGTCCGTCATTGCTACAGTTTCTCAACACTCCAAAATGGTTTCTGTTTTTCTTGAGCCAGTATTTTTTCACCCAAAGCATCATTGTTAATGGTGTCTACCCAGGCTCGATCAGCACGATTGAGAGGCGGTTTGGTTACTCCAGGTAAGTGTGACTGTATAACTGCATAACTTACTCCAGGCACTGAAGTGTGACTGTATAATTCGCATTAATTATACCGCAAAATGATGTTTTCTAAGAGTAGCACAGAAGATTCTGCTCATGCTTGCTTTCAATCAGCGGAACTATGATAAATATTGTTTCGGGTTAGCAGTCAGTTTCTTAAGAACTGCTGATTTGCGTCCGCGAGCAAATGAAACAGTTGATTTTCAACCACTATCCCCTCTGATCCGATGTTTTCTTCTTCGGCGGAGCGCATGGGCCATCTTTCACTGGTATGCTTTTAAGCCTCCTGAAAAAAAAAAACCGCATGATTCTAGGTTGATTAGGTCGACAGTTCCGTAGGGGTAAATCGTGGTTGTCTCTTTACACATCCATTCGTCAGAATGTCTCTCAAAGCTGCTCTTGTTCCATAGAAATTCTCTGTAATTAGTAACGCTCGATCTCCGCTTGATCATTTAAGCATTCGTCGCCTTTAAATTCTGAAGTCCGTTTCAACAACAGTCAGATGAATAAAATTTACCAACCTTCCGTTTTCCGACTTTGCTCTTTCAAAGTGATATGATGGAGCTGAGTTTTTTTCCTTAACTAATGGAATACCCTTCATACATCGTTTCCTTTAAAACAAGAGAGATTTGGCCAATATTTGGCCAATATTTGGCCAATATTTGGCCAATATTTGGTCGAGAAGATGTCATAGGCCTAACCTGGTATAACCAATTTAGCAGCCATATCAGCATGTTTACAAAATTGTCCAGCAGCCTGATGTGCGCAAGTTGAAATAGCAAGCTGCATTAAATTATCTTTTAACCCTGACTTCAGTTTTGCTTTACTTCTCTCTGTTATTAGTCTAAAACGTTTGGCGCAACTTTTTTAACCAATTTAAAAAAAAAAACAAAACAGCAAACAAAAACAAGCCACGATTTAGTTTCTTGCGTTCTCTCGTACTTTAAAATATTTTTGTCTTTTTACTTTGAGTTCTCATTGCCAAAGTTTTCTTTCGTCCTAACTGGTGGTTGTTATTCCTTAGGTTTAGGTCCTGTGACACTCAATTGCAACTTGAAGTCGTCTGAAAGTATAGTTAAAGATGGAATAACTCAAAATAACGACTTAAAAGTAATTAACTATAATACTACTACTACTAGTAATAATAATAATAATAACTTTTGTTTATATAGCGCTCATATCCTGAGCTCATGGCGCTTTACAACACTGTGTGGGGGACTTTTACCAGACTGCTAAGCAGTTCACAATCAATTAAAGGCGAATCTAACAGATGCCCCATCCCCCAATTCCCAGTAAACAGGCCAGACCACATCACAGTAATCTTGTGTGGGCTTGGACCCTCGACCTCCCGCACAACAGTCTGGAGCTCAACCAAGTGAGCTAACCGGGAGGCGGTTAGCTCATGCACTTAAAAACTAAAAGATGAGAAAATCTCGTAGTGTGTCTCTCTCTCAACCGAAATACTCCTGTTTTTGATTGTCGCAGCTATATGATTGGTATGATGACAAGTAGTTACGACATAGCAGCCATGATCATTACTCCTCTGATCAGCTACATCGGGGGCTCAAGGAAGAAACCGCTGTTTTGTGCCTGGGGTTTGTTTGCAATGGGGGTTGGATTCTTTATCTTCATGTTGCCTCATTTTGTTTCGCCTCCATACGACGCCACAGGTAAGTGAAAGAGTTTGACATTCACACAGTTCGCAACAAAATTTGACGAAAGTTGAACCTGTCTTGGTAGTTGCCCTCTCCCCTCCCTTGCAAAACCTTTTTGCTTCTTTGCTCTTTTCTTTTGTACAATACCCACCCTTTGTTTACGGCCTGCTCTTTCTCCTTTTATCTCAAGGGCTGTGCCTCCATCCCTGCCAACCAAGGATTCCACAGTGATTAGACCCATTCGTTTGCACGACATAGCCGGATTTTTTTTTCTGAATTTGACATGGATTTTTCTTTATTGTCGCATCAGCCATCATTACAAACTCTAACACGAGTATTACCGATATAAGAGTCACTGACGTCGGACTTTGCTGGGCAAATCGCACCGATCAACTTAGAAAGAACCAATGTAAGGAAGAAACCGCAGGTGGAAACACTCTCTACTACGCGCTTTTCGTGCTGGGAATGGTTGTAGCTGGAGCAGGTTGCACTCCGATGTACGCGTTGGGAATCCCATACATGGATGAAAATGTCAAAGCCAAGGTGACGCCAATGTACGTTGGCATATTTGTGGCCAGTGGAATTCTTGGTAAGTTACCATGATAATTGATGATAAACATCACTCTTACAATGGCCGAACTAAAAATATTTATCTTATCTTGAATAGTTATTCCTTTGTTTTTTAGGCGCTGCTGTGGGTTTCGTATTGATCTCCAGATTTCTTTTAATGTTCGTTGAGCCTGGTGTCCAGACCTCGCTGACCATACAGGATAAACGTTGGGTGGGGAACTGGTGGATAGGCTTTGCCATATTTGGTGCGATCTGCGTGTTCTGGAGCATTTGGATATTAGGATTCCCAAAGGAGTTTCCTCTTACAAAGAAACGAAGAGAATTAGATATATCTGCCACAAACACTGCGACCAGTGCGGTAGGTAAATTCTACAGATCTTTCCACTCGTGGTCATGCTGACACAAGAAGTCACGCATGCACAAGGACGCCCTTCAGCGCTAAATTTTTTTCTAGCGCTTGTCTTACCCGTGTTCTCTACAGAGTAAAAACCCTTTTAGCTTATCGTTCCAAGTCATATGTACTATGGGGGCACTCCGTCCGTCCTCTGCGTTGTGGAGAGTCTTGCTACCCCTTCCCTCCGCCGCCCCCCCCCCTCCCATCCTTGTCCGCTCAACGGCCCCGTATGTGGAGGCTGCTTCGCACAATAACTTTGATATTTAAAATAAGTGCACGAAACTTGATGCAATTCTAGAGCAAAGAGAAAACGTCCTTAATAGGAACGGTTCCCCCTTTTACATCTGGTTGTCGAGGCGTCATTCATACCCCCGATATATATTTTTTTCAAGATTATTCTTACTCGTGCGATTATCTTCTTCAATCAAATTTCAGTTTTAGGTAGGTAGGTAAGACTTTATTTAACGAGGGTAACATGTGACAGTAATGAAACTGATAAACTAATGGCCCTCGAAAATTAAAATTCGGAAAAAAAAGGAATTGTAACAAACGTAACAATATTAGGAATAATTAAAATAAAATAATTAACCTATATACATCATAAAATATTTAAAAATATAAAAAAAATTACAGGAATAATTTGCTAAGAATTTGATTATCTAAAATTATTTTAAAAAGGGAACGCTTAAAACGTTTTACACTGGTACTCCGTTTGATGTCCACACTTAATTTGTTCCATTCTTTCGTGGCTCGCACAGCAAACGCTCGACCCCCTTCAGAACTTCTCTTAAAACGCGGGCACATTAAGTTTAAATTACAGAAACGGGTTTGTCTATTATGAGTGTCAGAGTTTCTGATAAGAATATCATTTATATATTGCGGGGTATTTCCATTAAGCCTTTTGTAGGTTAGAGCGCATCGATTGACGTATGATTCAGCATAAAAAGGAACCCACTTTAAGGTGTTAAATAAGCCGACAGAAGGTGCTGTTCTTTCGGCATCAAGGATAATTCTAGCCGCACGTTTTTGAAGACGCAGGACTTTCAAAAGATTTTCTTTACTGCAAGAAGTCCATGTCGTGCTACCGTAAAGCATTACAGGTTTAATGATCGTAGAGTAGTATATGTCACGTTGATTGCGTTTCAGATAAGGACTTATGTGACGAAGGAGTCCAATACGTTTCGCCAACTTTTTGCATAACTCCTCAATTTGGCGATTAAATGAAAGATCCTGATCCAATGTTATCCCAAGTAGTTTGAAATCAGTAACATGTTCGATATTGCTTCCATTCAAGCTGACATCTATTGAGGTAGAGGCGAGAAGGTTCCGCAAACGTTTGCCTGTTACCAGCATGGACTTCGTTTTCTGAGAGTTAATGAACATTTTGTTTCGTGCTGACCATTCATCTAAACGTTTGAGATCTTGATTTAAAGCCTGTGTCAGATGAGGAACATTTTCCCAGCTAGAGCATTTTGATAAAGTTGTGTCGTCAGCATAAACGTCTAGTGTTGAATCACGTATACTTAAAGGCATGTCATTTACAAACAATAAGAAGAGAATGGGTCCTAAAATTGATCCTTGAGGTACTCCTTGTAGCAACTGCTTACTGGTAGAACAGCAGCCATTTATACGCACATATTGTTTTCTTCCAGTGAGATATGACCCAAACCACTTTAATGATATATCGTTTGATCCATAAATAGATAGCTTCTTAAGTAAAAGCTCGTGATTTATCACGTCGAAAGCCTTTCTAAAATCGACAAAAGCTAAGCCAGTTACCATATTATTATCCATATTAAAGAGCAGTTCATCAGTTAATTTAATCAGTGCCGTTTCCGTGGAGTGATTAGGACGAAAAGCTGACTGGAGGTTGTATAGCAAATCATAGCTGTGCAGGTGTTTGCGGAGAGATGTTGCAACGTGTCGTTCAAGGATCTTAGAAAGAACGGGTAATACAGAAATTGGTCGATAGTTGCTTGTGTCTTCACGAGAGCCACTTTTAAATAAGGGAGTAATTTGAGCGGTTTTCCATGACGAAGGGAAACATCCAGTGGAGATGGAAAGATTCATAAGGC